TATATAATTAACCGTTTCCCTGGAACCGCTGCATGCTACTGCAGCAGTAGCAGTAGCATGTTGACATGATGGCAGTAAGGTGAAAAGAAGGAAGTCTTTCTACTCATTTCCCAGCCTCCACATCAGGTTGCTTCTTCACAACAGAGTACATGGTACAGCCACAGTTCCTACCAATGACAACAGAGCATTATTTAAAACATGCCAGACGAGGACAATACATGTCATTTTATATATCAATGTAATTACAAATACCTGAGAATTTTATCTCTGGATCTATAGCACAGGAACATGATGATCCCGAGGATCCCCAGAAGCACCAGAATAACGACAACAGGAACAACCACGTAGGGAATCTCTGTCAGGAGAAAAGAGAATATGAAAGTTTAATTGCTTATTCAAATAATTATCACAAAAAATGGGCATTTTATTTTAGCTTACTACAATACATGTATAATGTGAATGGAAATTAACATTTTACACTCATCTATAAAGAACATATGCAATAAACAACGTGGGAGGAAAAAGGGACTTATTTAAGCTTAGTGGGTCCACCATCCACATCTGCAGTGGGCTAGGTGTGCCCCTATCTGCTCTACCATTATAAGAGTAGCACTCTTAAGTGATAACGTGTCTACAAAGGAAAGACAAAAAGTGCTACCTGAGGCCTGATAAGACATTCTTTGCTTTGGGGAAAATATCATTGTAGCTACTTAAATGACAACAGATAGCTGTCTGCTATTTGGAATAGAAACTACTGCAGTATGTGGTGTTAGGATTGTTTTGTCTTTTGTCGCCGTCAAACAGGAAGTACAGACACATGATGTAATCTTACATTACCAATATCTCACTGCAGAACACAAGAAATCAGAGACCAAAGAAATGCACTGCTGGCCTTTCTTATTGCTTTAGATAACTGTTCATATCTGTCCGAGGACGTAAGCCATATCTGATACAAAGATTAACTGTAATATATATAATTTATGACTTTTAGTTCATTCCTACCTTTGTCTTTCTGAAACTGAGCACCACCATGGCAGCTGACTGTAAAAAGAGCAACATTGGATAAATGCAAATACACATTTAAAAAAAGACAAACACTCAAAATGACAGTGGATAAGACAATCTCACACAGGGTAAATGGTAGAACAAAATGTTTACAGTGACAGTGGCAGATAAAATACCCCTCAGTTAAGTCTGACAGGAAATTATACTCACATGTACAGCTAACATTGTAACTTTTCCCCTATGGACATGAAACAAAGACACAACAGTGAGATTATTATTGTCTGGACTATACAGTCCTCACATAATTCAGGCAATCTAGTGTTAAAACGTGTGAAAGTGTAATACCTCTGGGAAACAGGTTCGTTCATGGTGGAGCATGTCACTGCACTTTGAAGTGACGAGGATGTTGAGGCTGTTTGTCTTCACCAGCCCAGGGATTTCCTCTGTGTTATGGGCGAGCACGTATAGCTAAAGTCAACACAGAAAAATTCAGTCAATCACACAAACCGAACTAAACCAGAAATCAGTCTGAAACGTAGCATGGTATATAATATATAACATAATGGCTGCACTCCATGCAGGATTCCCTTTGTTATAGTGCACACTGACTTATCGTCATTGTTTACTGGCAAATTTTCATGGAATAGAAAGATTAATGTAATCATTTGTCTTTTAAAACACTGAGATCAACTAACTGTTTAACTTACACTTGAGTTGGCCCAGCTGTATTCACAGGAATTGACCCCTGAGACATCAGGCATGCCAGAGATCCTGTAGGTTGTTCGCTGTAGGTCATGATCCTGAGTGACAGTGCAGACAGGCACCTGTCCACCGGCAGCAGTTAGAAAGCAGCCTGGAGACAAAAAGACAAACACATAACCACAATGGCATGTCTCTAGCGTCTACTGCAGAGACTGATCGCCGCGCTTCTTTGTACTGAGCGCAAGACATCCAACAGACATCTGAAGGACAGCAGCGGAGTTCCCCCTCTGGGTATTTCCCCATCATTCCTCTCCCCCCGTGTACGTGAGAAGATCGCGAACCCCACCCCGAGTATGTGCTCTACAGTGACTGCGGAAACGACACCAACCAATCCCCCCAGGCAGGTTAGAGGAGATTAGAAGTTTTTAAGGACGAATAGTAAACCGCGCGTGGCAGACAACACGCTGCAGACCGTGCGCTCGTGAAACGCTGTGACACGAGCTGATCACTGAACCAAGCCGGCGAGTCACGTGCGTGTGTTGTTAAACAGTTTGTCTGACAGATTAGAAAATATCTGGACTTGTTAGGCTCCATATACAGATTATATATTGACACGACATACAATATACATATATAAATACACTATATAGTAAATAGTCCACCAACCTTCAGTTAAACGCCACAGGTATGTTGTGAATGTCTTGTCTATAACGTTAGAGCGGTTTCAACCCGAGTGTTAACATAATGTCGCTAACCGCGTCTAATCTCTAATCCCACATCGGTCAGTGTTTACTAAAACAAGCTGAGTAGAAAGGAAACGTTATGATTCATAGCGATGACGCAACTTTTTGTATTAGAAAATAAATGATGAGTAAAATGAAAAACTTGTAACACTTAGTGCTTTGCTGTGCTCGTTACATGCTTTGGTTTCAACGAGTTATCCAAATAAATCATTAATACTCACAGATCATTACGCTGCTCAGCACAAACATCCCGTCCATCTTCTTTCGTCTCATCTTCACAATGATGAGTCCGGAGGAGCCGCGCTGTTACCACCTCCACCTCCACCTCCACCGCCGTGCTTTTCAAAATAAAACTTGGTACGTGTAGTGTTTACTTGTAGCTTGACTAAACTGAAAAACGATTGCAGATGGATTATCAACTTTTGTACAAGTTGTACAACAATCAGTGTTGATTGTGTGTAGTACATACCACTAAAGCAGTTGAATTTGAATTTATAAAATGCCACAATCTGTGTTGCATCTTTGATACACACAAATCAGTTTTAGTGATTATGTTTGGTCATTAATGTAATTTCCTGAATATGTTGGTTTATAGTCTCTGCCAAGCAGAAATAGTAAGGCAGTATTGGGCTTGAGGTGTGTGTCACAGAGATACTACACACTATAGCACCACTGCAGCCCACTAGACTATAAACCCTGGAGTAGTGTATTGTTGTTAGTAATAATAATAGTGTACTTTACTCCATTTGCAGTGTCCTGTATGTTTTAATGTAGGTCTTGCCCCTAATGGACAAATTCATGCACGGTTAATTTATTTTATTTTGAAAACTACAACTGCAGTTCATTTTTTCAAACTTCCACTTTTGGCAGGATGACGCAACGGATAATCTGATGATGAAATATGACAAATAATGGAACAATAGTAAAGTCGATTGATTTATTTAAACCATTTTGACGCCTTACTACATGTAGACACCTGCAAACTATCTTTGTGCTTTACTACTACTGTTTTATTTAGAATTTATATAATATATACAATGACATACCCTGATTATTTATCTGTAGAATTAAACTAATCTACAACAAAAACTGTTTAGTTGAAGGTACTGGTTTCCATTTCTTCTGTCTTTGTTCGATTTATGAACACTGTCTCTCTCACATACTGATAGACACTCTTGTTACCTAGCTGAGCCCCCTCACCTCCTTCAGAGCTGAGGGGGTTTTTCAGGTCCTCTGACAGCCCAACTTCAACTATCCCGAGCAGGAAGCCAGATATAGCCCACACTAGATGGGGGTTCTTTCATGTGTTAAGGTGCTTTACATAACACATGGAGAAATAACCCTCGTCACTTTACATTTAGCCATATTTCTTGCTTCAACTCAACTTCAACTTATGTCCTTATTCCAAATCTTGTCTGCATATGACAGTGGGAATTATTTCTGGTTTACTTTGAAATGTCTCTACTTGGACCTTATCAATTGTCTCATATGTGCCAATCTTCTGGCAGTTTAGGTGAAGCACAACACGAAATCAGTCTAAAAAGCTTAGTTAATCCTTTGTGACTCACAGTTGTAAATCAAAAAAACATGAAAATGACCGAGACTGAGTGGTGAATATAAAGCAATACGTTACATTCCTTTACATGAAACGTGCCTCTAAAGATGGATTCATGGCACATGGCAAAGTACATCTGCATTGGAAAGAAAACATCCAAAACATTTTATAAAAACTAAAGACTGAAGCTTTGAAACACATAGGTAGTAACTTTCTCTATGAACAAAATATGGCACCATTTTAATGGAACAATTAATGCCACACATTTAGTGGCTGGTGACTGGTCAGTCACATGGGTCATTAGATTCAGCAGCTTTAATGTGAAATGCTCTTCAGAACCTAAAGTGAGAAAACACAATGATGGAAATAACTTCCACTAATACACTAAAACAGTTATTGTTAAATGGTGCATTTCTATAAAAATGTCCCAAAAAGTCTTTCTACTACTTTAGTCCCTTAGCTAGAGCTCAGGCTCATACCTTGATCTGCAGCTGGACTGAATATGTCAGGTGACTAAAGGTGCACACTGAGTCTCAAGCTCCGGGTTCAAACCTGTTGAAGATCAGAAAACAGCCACACAAGTACTTCAGCAACATTGGCTGCCATATTGTAGGATAGTGTATGTAAAAGCTCCAATACATAAAGCCATATCCAAAACTTCCCCAGTATGTCTAATACGGTCACACTGCTCCCCCCAGAGGCCACTTGTAAAACACTGTTCTCAGGTGGCTTTTTGTAAGGGAGCTTAACTTTGTGTTGTGGATGAGAAAGTGCTCATTGTTTAACATACGCTATTAAAACCCTTAACTTCACCCGGGTGGAGACAGAAATCTGTCGAAATATGATTTAGGAAAAGATAGTTCAATCATTTATTAAAGATTTCCGTGTATACAAAAAACGTATATTATCCTTTAGCACTTTTATAAAACAATGAATCCACATTGGCTAAACAACAACATATAGATCAGTCCATGTTTTCATGTTTGTCCTGTGTGCTGTTGTGTGTCTCTGTGCTGCTGCCTTCTGCCTGTGAACACACACTCTGCTGTGTTTTCTCCTCCAAGCTCCTCTTGACCGTCAGCTCTCTCTCAGCCTCCTCCACACGTGGAGCTTTGGCCGCCTGGATGTGGAGCTTCCCGTCTGGAGCCAGGTAGCAGGTGACGTCTTCAGGGTTCAGTCCTTCAGGCAGATCAAACTCCCGTCTGAACTGAAGAGTAGCAGCCTTTCTCATCCTCCTGCTTCTTCTCTGTCTTTCCGCTGACTCTCAGCTTTCTGCCCACCTGCCTGACAGACAGCTCCTCTGGGGAAAAGCCTTGGGTGTCCAGGGTCAGGCCAAAGTCCTCTCCCTCTTTCTCCAGCTGGTAGGAAAGCGGTTGCACGGCCACGCTGGATTGGAAAGGCTCCGTCTCCTCCAGGATCTTGTGTTGAAGTTTGTCCATCAGCTCCAGACTGCTGCGGAGCTCCTGTAGGTTTCTCTGCAGTAGATCCTGCTGGTGGAAAAGAGGTTTAACCCCTGGCCACACACTGCGCACAGGCCAGTACAATCCCATGAATGGACTGAAGGCAGACTGGAATCCATGAGAGCACAGCATCTTCACTGTGTGTTTAGTGTTGAGTCCTCTTGTTGTGAGATGAACCGCTGTTAACATGTGTTGCTTTCTGTCTCAGCAGTGGGACTGTCTCAGCTTTTATATTCTGACTGGAGGAGCTCCAGAGGCTTCAGGAAGTTTCCTGTCATTACCACAGCTCTCCACTGGGTGGGGCTGTTTCTCCACTTCTTCTACTGGATAATTACTGTTTGTTAAGTAGTTTACTGTCACAATTTAACACAATTTAAGCTCTAAAATCATCATACATTTTAATGAAGCATTTTCTAATTTTCTGTCTCCATGGAAAAAACGGATGTTTGGTCAATCTGAGATCAAGATACTCTAGATCAGCGCTGCTTAAAGTGGAGCCTGAAATCACAAGCCAGTGCTCCTCAAACTGAGATATCTGCCCTGCTGCGCTGGAGCGAACACTTCTTCACATGGAGGATATCAACAAGGAAATCCAACTGCAAAACAAAATTCACATTCACTAGAGAGAGAGGGTTTGCTATAAACTGACTGAAAGGTGACAGTTTTACCTTCTGATAAAGATCATTTCTTCTGTCTTGGTGCTGGACTGTTTCCAGCTTCAGAGGGTCAAATTCCTGTGACAGCAACCCTCCTAAGGCTGACCACCCACTCCTCATCACAACCATTATTATTAAATATCATTTATAACGACCTTGTTGTAAGGGCTGGCTGGTTTTATTCATAACCAACATTTATATTTTAGATTACAATTATCAACACAACAGGAGACACTATGACTGGTGCATTACTTATAACAAATGAGCTCATTATCATGAATAAATACTCACCAGACTGAGGAGGAACTGGAAATCAACACATTTAAAATATTCAGAACAATGTTAAATAATGTCACTGGTGAAAATGATAGAGTCCTGGCTGAATAATTCTTGGCTTTGATAGATTAAAGTTAATCTTATTATTTTTGAGGAGTGTTCCCTTATTGGAACAGAGGGTCCAATAGAGGGATGCTTTATGCTGTACAGACTCTTACAGGTCTTTTATAAATCAAACTGACAATTTCAATTTCAGAAGTATTTGATGAACAATATTATAGTGTACTTAAATGTGTTTATTGTCAGTGCAGCAGCCATTAAGACAACTCTTTGTATCTCAGTTTCAGATGAACCAGTGGACTAAGCTGGGAAGTAATCACCAGTTTCTTTTTTTATGCTGCAACATCACAATCTATTTTAATATCACATTTAATGTGAAAATATGGATCAACTCAATTTATTGGACCAACATCTGCTGAATAAATGGTCAAATAAAACAATGAATATCTGCTACAACCTCAGAAACGGGCAGGAAATATCACTGCTGATCCATCCTCCCTACAGAGCACTGTACACCAGAACAAACAGACCCAGGAACAGTTTCTACCCACAGGCCATCACTCTGACCAACAGTGAACTGCCTGTTCAATAACCCACTATAATATCCACTGAACCTAAAACATATTTAGAATTTATCTTTTCATTGTTGAAATTCTGTCTCTTTTTTAAAACATAAAACATAAATACTATCATTCTACTACATCGAGCTATACTGTGCATACTGTATATAATGTCATATCAACCTAACTCATGTACATAAAGTAAAATATTTATTTCAGCATCCGCTGCAGCATTGCACTACTGTCTACTGTCTACAAATGTTATTGTTTTTTGTTTGTATATATACAACTGTACATATTAGTCTGTCTATTTTGTTGAGCTTGTTGTTCTGTTTATTTATGCTGTTAGTCTGTGTTTGTACGTCGAGAGCGAGGTAAATCCGGAGTGTAATCCTTTGTGTGTGCACATACCTGTCCAATAAAAGTGACTCTGGTTCTTAAATCCACAAGAACCTAAAACATTTTATTTTCCAATAATTTGAATATATTAAATAAACAAAAAGCCTTCAGAAGATTGAAGAGTTATACATTTTTCCGTATGTCTTTTTTTATTTTAATCATTGCAATTATTTTCATTAAATTCATGAATTTGAACTTTTCTTCTCTGTAAGGCTAGCATAATGTTAGCTAACAAGCGAATTAGCCAAATGTGGAAGAAGTTGAACTTAAAAAACCTTTAAACGGCTTTAAAAAGAAAGTCTTCATATTCGTACCTTTATAATGGTGACAGAGGGTCAGTCGCTGGTCCGTTGAGGTTTCTCCTCTGTCAGTATTTTCTTTAGCTAACAGTTAGCTTCTCACCTTTCACCGCAATTAGGTCATCCAATGTATCTAGTGCATACACTGATGTTTGGATTGATTCACGTTTCTTCATGTTGTATTTTAGTTTAGTGGTTTATTTCTTATTTTGCGTCTTTATGCTAAACTTGAAGCAAGTGAAACATCCATATGAACCTGTACTTATAACATTACTGTGATCAACAGTGGGTCAGATCTGGCGGGAAATCTATTGATTTGGAGAGCTGCTGTCCTTCCAGCACAATGAGCTAAATATTTGACAATCTCTGTCAGCAGCAGGCAATAAAGAGATAGATCGACTGAAAAATTCATGTTCGTATTCTTAAGTGAAACCAAAGAGATTAATTCACTGAAGAACTAACATTTATCCATTCATTCATTTGCTTTATCTGACAAAAACCCAAAGAAACATTTAAAATATCAAACTGAAAAAATAATGCTCACATTAGAAATGGAGAATATTCAACATTTTACTGTCGTCAAGTTTAAAATAGGGTCAGATGTGTTTGTGTTTTGAAAGGCTCAGACACTAAATGTTACTAGAAGCCTGATTTACAGTTTGTTCTGGAAAATTCAAATCTCAGAGGATGAATCTTTGGCAACTATGTGACCTTTCAACATCAAATGTTTTACACAAGACATTTCAAATGTAATGAGTTGATTACCTTACCAATCTCTCATTATATGACTGAGTGAACTGTTAAGAAGACAAACATGTCACAAGTTGTATTTAAATTTTCCGGTTAGAGGTACATAAGAGTTAATAAAAAACACTAAAGTCTGATTTTTGAATAAATATCACACAAACACGGTTGGCTTTCATTTAAAATTTATGTAAATTCATGAATTAAATAAAATTCATACATGAACAAATGGCAAAAATAACACTGGGAACCATTCCCGGAAAAAAAAAAGTAAACTAGCAGAGTCAATGCTGCAATATAATTTAACATACAGTGGTAGAGTGACGATAAAACGCATTCACCCTTTTGGACTTCATGTTTTGTTTTTTCAACTGTGAATCACAGTGGATTAATGAGACTTGCTGACATGGTCAAAGAGAAGCCAAAACAACTCTGGACTTCTCTCCATGACCCAGAGTGGAAATTATGACCTGCTCACTTTGAAATGTGTTGCTGTTCTCTACAATGGAAGAAAATCTTGTGAGGCACAAGATTGTGATCAACGTAACAGTGAAAAAGCTGAATGAATCCACAGAGATTCAAAACTGTAAAATAAAACAGTAAGAAGTCCAAGAGGATAGTGAATAGTGGCACTGTATATAAGCCTAAATAATCAGTTGGATGCTCATTGACATTAAATTCCCTCACATGAAATGTGCTTTTAAAAATGGATGAATGCTGAGTGCAAAAATAGATTTTGCAGTAGAAAAAAAAAATAAGATTGTCATTTTGTTTTCATTCATTTTCCGCACAAACACTCTTTGACAAACACATACAAACTATTTTTTTTAAAGCTTTCGTTGCACAACGGCTGAATCCTTGAAGCACATAGGTAGTAACTTTACTGTTTGCCAAATACTGGAACTGGTGCTTCGGTGGCTTCACCAGTGAGTCTTCCCTCTAATCCAGTTACGTCTCCATCTCTAAATGAATCAAATATGTGAGAGCACCCTTGTTGACCTTAACCTTAATGACATCAAATTCAACTCATGTAACATTCTCATATCTCACTTTGTACATTTATATACTGCACACTCACACACACACTTTGTTGAACGCAATGTACACAAGCACATTCCACAAACACAATACGAACAGAGAATGGGTAAACAGACACAAAAAAAAGGAAGTAATATACTGACTGTAACAAACATTAAATGACTGCATGTTGTTTCATAGAAAAGGGATAAATTAGTTTGTATTGCTTTGGCCTGTTCTGAGAGCAGCCTCATGTTGTCTTTCTCTGGTCCTGTAGATGCAGGAGCATCAAAGAGCCACTAGACTGCACCACTGAGAGGACTTGGCAGCTGGGAGACGGTGGAAACCTTACCGATGTCACAAATGTCTGTTTTGTCACCTCAGATTCCAACTGTGTTTGACCACCTGATCTCCTCATCTTTCCCTGTTTTCCCTTCTTGGCAGAGGCTTCACATTAGAACCCAAAGGTGTCTTTTTGTGCAGTGAAGTCTGTGTCCTCTTGGTCCCATTTGCCTGGGGACAGGCACTCTTCAGTGTTGAAGTCCTGAGGGTTTACCCCAATGTCCAGGACCTGGGGGTTAGTGCGAGACTCAGCGAGTCTGAAGGAACAGAGGAAAAGAGACAATGTTTTAGTTAAAGATTCCCGCTAATAGTAATGACAATTTATTACATTTAAAAAGCTTGTGAACAACGTGTGATACCAACAGTGGTACAGAATGGATGAGTTATAAACGATAGAAACACGATAAAAAAAGCAAAGCCACATGTGGCGATAAAATGATTCCCTTCATGAACTAATCACAGCAACCCAACATGAGACCGCTGTAAAACACATACAAAATGCCTATTTAAACACAAAAACAGTTCGATCAACCTGTTACCACACAACATTTTCATTCACCGTGACATGTCTCATCCAGTGCTGTGGCACTAGCGGAGTGCAAATTGGATGGTTGTGAGGTGGAGACACATAAAACATTTGTGATGAAGACGAGGACACAGTGGCAGACTACATTAAGTTCTGTGGCAGTGAACCTCGCCTTATGAAGCTCAGGGATGGATCAGACTGTGGCAATGACAATGAGGAAGTTTCCCCATTGATGTGTCTCTAAACAAGTCATACAAGTTTTGTTAATGGTAAATGGCCTTAAATAAATGTGAAACTACATGAGTCTTTAATCAATCTGGTTGAACACTGATATCCAGACAGATGAGCAGGCTTGAATAGTGGGTTGACTAGGGGAGAATGAGGTGGAAGTCACTAGAGCCAGTGAATGACATTGTTACCTGAGTAGGATTCAAAGCTATCCAGACTGCGGCTGGGGGTGCAAAGGAAACATCACAAGTCAGGCAACGATGAAACTCTGAACTATTCAGCCTTATAATAAAGTGAATGGATACATTTACTGTGGCCCCAGCGTGACTTTATGGCCAAATTCTTATGCTTAGAGTTGACAAACATGAAGGCCGTAATATTAGGGTTAACACAGGCCAATTATAACTCACTCTTTCTAAGACAAAAAACATTATACTGGCATTCCCCTAGCGAGGATTAACAGTTTACATCTACAACAGTGTTCAACACGCCACCGCCAGCAGATGGCAGTGCGGTCTCACAAACAGCAACACAAATGATCTCAACGTATAAATTTATCTGGGGTTGAGAGTGAAAAGTAAAGTGACTAAACTTCTAATCTAAGAGAATTTAAATGTCACAAAAAATAAAAAGGAATTAAACTGAGGAGCAGCCACTTTGAACCTCAGAATTAAAACTGTGGTGTTGCAGTGAGGGAGTTCCTGTGATGCCCACAACTTGCTGCCTCTTACAGGTTGGGAGGCAGAGGAGGCCCCGGTGCCTGTGATGTTCAAATACTGAGTGCTTTGATCAGATTTAGGAGTGTATAATCTGTCACTAGGAAAAAAAAAGATTCCGTCTTACTGTAGCTGTACATGGAGCATGTGTTACTCAAGTTAAATGTAAGTTACACCCTCTGAACACTCTGTTGTGTATAGTCTTTTTATCTGAATGGGGCAGCTTACTCAGGAGGAACAGTGATGACAAGGCACATTTATGTTGTCAACTATAAACTATCCATTAATCCAGAACATTTCACACAAAACTGTATGTGCCACACACTGACTATGTGGTACAGTGAAGCTAATACAAACACCATCATTCTGTAATATTCTTATTCACAGAATCCTGAATTATCTCTCATTTTCTCTCACGCTCTGACCTCAACATCAACCAGTGCAATCATCTTCTCCTGGTGGACAAAGACGTCGACCTGGCTTTCGGGTCCCCTGACTTTCCTTCAATTACACAAATGTACATGTGGATGCATCTGTGCTCATGCTGAAAGCATCCTCATTAATCACAGAGCGGGGAGATTAACAGCATTAGGGTGCAATTACAGTGTGTGCAGACAAATAATCGCCTGATAACGGGGCTAAAATGGCCTCTTAGTGCTTGATTACAGTGACTGTGGAGCCCATTCTCCCTTTCACTAAATGAAAGTGAGAGAATAAGAAGCCCCACTGTTGAATTAGTAGAGGGAATAAAAAGCAGACGCGGAAATAAAAGCACTAATAAAGTCTTGAATGGCGGTCCGAAACAAACAGCTGTAAACAGTTGCACTGTGCAACCTGACAGCAGACCACCACAGCTTATCGGAGTGTGCTGCTGATAGGGACTAAACTGAAACATTAATCACAGAGGACTCCAGCTCCATTCTGATTAGTTTGTTGATGGCGTAGGAAGACTTTTAGAAATTCCAATCAGCACAGGCAATGGACTTTCCTGTCAACCTTGAACCTACAAATTATGAGAACCTTTTCTCTGTGTGCTCAAAAGTGTACTATACTGCAAAGTAAGTTTGCAACACTTATTTGTAATCACAGGCTTTCTGGGCTCATATGAAATCAGTGTGTGGGCCTGAGATTATGGTAAACTGAGCCTATAAAAGCAGCATGACTCAGGGTGGGTGTCGGCTGTGCCCGCCCGGGCCTGTAAACCGATCCCGTCTCTCCCGCCTGTGGGAGTTTACTGGGGGTGAGCCGAACACAGGGAGAGGCAGCGTTTATTATGAGAGCAGCCCAAACCACAGGTGGTTATTTCCAGAACAGCAGCTTGTGTGGCTGTTTAGCAGTGGTCGGGCTTTAGGGAAAACCCAAATCCACACTGGTTCTCACCTTGAGAAAGCCTCATCCAGACCGTCCTCCAACTCCTGCCAAGACAGAACATACACATAATGGTTAAAGATAGAGTTTATGTCTCGTAGTAAAGTAAAGAGTGCTTATTTCTGAGATGTGGAAACACTCACACATGCACATGTCGCCTCTTGCTATTTTTCTTTACCTTAAAATGGTCTTGGGAGGTTAATCTACTACTGCTACTTGCAGCCCCACGCCCTCTCCAGCTATGTGACCATTTGATAAGGCCCGTTCTGTTCAATAGGCTATTGTCTGACTGCGTAGCAGCTGTGTAACTATAGAATCCACTCCTTTGACTACAACAGGTACAGTACATCACCAGGCACTTTGGCTAATTACTCAGTCTTTCCTGTGTGGCATTCTTGTGTTCTCATCTTATCAAGCCTACGCAGCTGAAACTTATTGACCAGCCCAACTCTTGTCTTACCCATACAGTATTGTTGTTCTCTATTGCGTGATTATGCACCATAAAGGGATCCGATTCAGTCTGCTTTGTTCCTGAGTGGACCAGCGCCACGTTGGCTCCCTCTGCCAAATCCAGAAGTTTTCCTGTGGCTACCTCTGTAATACAAAAAAAAAAAACACAAGCAATTATTTAGAAAATGTACATATAAATGCATTAAAATTCACAGGGAAGCTTCCACATTCGCCATTAGATTCAATTCCTAGCCCAGAGACAACAGCAACAACAAATTTGATCGGATCCTGTGATTATCATACTCTCATGCAACAGTAAAGACCAGCGAGCATGCGCGAAGTCTCTGATGCCACGCTATTTGTTAAGGTCCACTTTTCTTTATTAAGCCTCTAATGTATCTCAAGGATGCAGCCATCTGTAGAGTGTCACTCTGTGATAAGTGAGCATGGAGTAACCTCCTGACTCACACGCCTAACCAAGTTGACACCACTGATCTGTAATGGGATTGGTTTGTAATGGCCTTGTCGGATGATTAATGTGTGTCAATAACATGTGTCAACACCAATTTCAGCTATTGTTGTTCACAGAGAACAGTAAACACTAATCACTCTTCTAATAATAGCGCAATCTAACTCTATTTAACGCACTTCTATGCTGAAACTTCATATCCTTAAATGCCCCTTTCCCTATTTTCTACTTCTCAAAAGAGACGCTCACATACAATGGAGTTGGAGGGCAATAACAACTCAACCCGTCCTCTCTGTCAACACTGGCTCAAAGGTATTTAGAGTATTCTGCTGTTATGAAGAAGGCAATATTGTGGGACTGGGACTGTCATTCATGGTGAAAGAGGGGGGGAATCAAAGCTCATCTGATAGTAATGCCCTTAAGTTCACAGCTTAGGTGTTGGTTAAGATGGAAGTGGGGCTTGTGGAAGGCACATTTAATTAAAGATGAAACTAATCGAAGTAAAATGCCAAATATTTGGTGTTCCCTCAAATGAAAGATCTATTTTGGACTGTTGGTCGGACAAAACTAAACAAGCAATCTGAAGATGTCACTTTGGGCTTGATGAGCATTTTTCTGAATTTTATTTGACCTTTTATAGACAATTATAGTCTATAAAATGTATTATAGTTAATTGAGGTAATAATGGACAGATGAATTGATAAGGAAAATAAACTTTAGTTGCAGCCCTACATTTAACCCAGTGAAGAGTAAGAGACTGTGTAAAGGGTGATCACTCTCAAGTAGACAAAACCAGAGGGGAACACAGGAAGAAGTGGTGTTTCTATTTTGTCGCCACTGCAAGTGGCCTGGCGCCGGCGGAGAGTTGAAGGTATCATGTCTCATGAATAAAGCTGACTCGCCTCTGACAACACCACTGATCCCGAGAGGCCTTCTGATTCAGTGGCGTGCCATTTGATCAGCCAAAGTGAAGGGTACATAAATGTAACCTTCAGATAGCTCTAAAGCTCTGCTGTCCCCAATCACTGCTTTAGGGCTGGCAGTGAAAACCTCTGGCAGGAGAGAAATGCACAGCCCGTTTCAAAAGGCACTCAGAAGCTTCTACTCTGTATTACTCTGCTGTACAATTACGCCAATTTGCTTTACAGAAATACAATCCGCTGGCAGTCAAATGACCCAACGAATGGTCAGTGGGATAATGTTGGTCCAAAATCGCACACCAGGCCTCTCTGTTACCACAATCTGTTTCCAAGTCCGACTTTGTTGGGTCTTCTCACTAGGGATCATCCTTAAAACCTTTGTCGGCTGTAAAACGCTACACATTCAGGTCCACAGCCCCGAATAAAGTGTCAGAGGAGATTTAGAGAGATCCCTCCTCTCTGGCTGGAGGCCACCTGGCCAGGCAGAGGGGGAAGCTCAGTACAAAGCTGATGTTTTCAGAGGTTTGCCTGCAAAAAAAAAAATACTGCTTCTGTCTCAAACTTAAACCTGCAGTACCAAAAGGAGGTTTCAGGCATAAAAAGTGCAATGGGATGAAGGCACGCGCAAAACAGACTGACAAAGAGAGTATTGTGAGGAATAAGCGTACTGGCAACAGGATGCTCCTCATCTTATCTAGGCTGTGGACAATATCAGAATTGTAGAATCTTAGTAAATGGAACAATGGGGTCACAGAAAATGTAGGCCTCTTTCAGGCTTTTTACACAAACGGAGCAGTAATTGTGTTCCAGAGTCAGACAGAACACAACTGTTTATCCACGAACGGCACTCTATCATCCTAAAATGTCATAGGGATCGGTGAACCAAGATTTGTTTTTAATGGATCTTCAACAAAACAAGGGGGCCTAATGTTTTCAAATTAGAGAGAGGCTCATCATTGCCATTATCATCACACATAATCACCTAAAAGTGTTTGCTGTTCATTGTAATAACGCTAGTGAGAGAGGATAACCTAGAAAATGCAGATTGACGTCAGCTAACCTGCAGCCTCAATATAAGCCAACCTTTGACAAGTGGCTGAATACTCTTCCTTCTCCCCCGAGGCTACGCTTGCTGTGAGGG